ATTGAAACTTCAGGCCATCCATTTTGTGATTTTTAGTTTAGGTCATTGTAGTCAGCAAGTATTTTGCAGCAGTTTTGTGTTATGTATTCAGATTTATTTTAAAAAATCGTGTTAAAGGATTCCCCATTTCATACATGGGACTTTACATATTGACCCCCATGTAAAACTTAGGTTGAGATCAAAACGAGTTCTTATGCAAAACCTATACATTGCAAACAGTGAATAAAATTGTTCTATGCACTAGATAAATGATGAGATTCTTGAGAGACTTTACCTTGGCTGATTTGCAGTTGACTTGACGATATTTTCTTCAGGAAACAAGTATATACATGTCAAATGTCTTCATTAATGGCAAACAATATTGACTTGTTCTTGATAACAGTTGTGATATTAATCTTATTTTAATCAGATTTCCAATGTTTCCCGGCATTTTCGACATTCTGTACCATAGTTGTTATATTTCTGGTGTTTGTAAGGAACTTTTTCTTTTAAGAATACTTACCATGCCACCAGGATGCCACTGATGAGTATCGTCCAGAGTGAATTCTTGTTCAGTAAGAGATGTTTGCATTTGAAATTTTAATCTTTGTAAGTAGTGTTGTGATAACAGTGTCATTTTTCAAGATGTATTTTTTTTGGTGTCATTTTTGACCACAATATTTACAGGTGGAAGTTCAAGCCGAGAGAGATCCATCCAGACTCTATAGATTAACAGAAGGTTGGAAAGAACGAAAGAAGGACACCTCAGCATCATCTAATGGACCTGTCTTACATATGCCTCATAGGTAGGTTGTTTGCAGTATTTTGAGCTGAATTGATTTTTTCTTTCAAAGTGATGCGTGCCAGGAGAAATAACTTCACAGTTGTTGTTTTGGAACATTTGTGTTTCATTTAAAACAAGGAGAACACTTTTTATTTTTTGGACAGAGCTGTACCATCATGGCGAACCGGCTTATAGCATCTAGGAAAAACCAAGCACTCTGTGACTGAGCCTAATTACTTATATAAGGACAACATGGCTGGCGGAATGTACTCTCTCTCTCTGTAAGGTCACGTTCCATACAAGTATGCAAATGTCGTTTGTATGAGGGAATACCATCAAATGCGGTCAGAAGCAGCTCTAGCGACCTCTGCGATGGCCAGATCGTCTTGATGTCATGTTGCTGTCTTTGCTCTCAACTATTCCTTTGATGATTGTTTTTGAAGGCAGTTATGTCTGGTGGCATATCATTTTTCTGGTCACAGTATCAATCTGCAAGGTTTTCTAAACACCAAACTGCTATATTGCCCACTCGTTGGCATGCACTATGACATTTGATAATGGAAAACAAAGAGGTGAAATGAAATGCTGACAATTCAAATTCCCATCGTCAAGTGTGGTTAGACCTGACCATCATTAGATCCATTCCTTTGGTCAGCTCGATTAACCCCATTTCTGATTTCAGTTTTTATGAACTTTGAAGTACAATGTACTCTTAGTTTCTTTGCAGCTTGTCACAAGATGTGACAGAAAATGTGAAATGAAATGCCTCTGGTTTTATTCTGTGAAAGAATCTCACCACTTTGTACATGTTGCGACACAAAGATTTTTAATTTATAATTTGAAAATTGATGAAAAAGAGCCATAAAGTCAAAGGTCACGTGGCAATCTTCCCCAACCCTTGTATGTGCAGCCTGTTGTACCACCCTCTATAATTTTTGGAAAGAATGATTTGCGTTCTTTTCACAGATAAGATTTAACTTTAGAATTTTTCATAAATGCAGATTTTTCCCACCAATTAATTAAAAAAAAATTCATAAACTGCTAAACTCATGTTGGTCTGCTATTTAAATTTTAAGTTTTACCTAATCGCTACCTTCTTTTCCTTTTATCTGCATATGAGTACACCAAGTTCACTGGTCATTTATTTTAAAGTTTTTACCGAGAGATGTAATTTTTTGGCATATTTCTTTTAGAGGTCAGGCAGTTTTTTGAGATTTCATAAATGTGCTTGAAAATATTTTACAAAAGCCTTTTTCAGAGGTAATTTTCAAATAAGTGAGGCCCAGGCTATACGCTGTAGCTGCTGTGCCGAACTCAAATGATTCACTTTTTTAAAGTTCAGCATGGCTATAGCACGGCATTTAGTGTGATTCGGCTCGGCAAATTGAATTTGGCACGGCAAACCCTTTTAGCTTGACAGGGTATGCCGCACTATCGTCGCTTCGGATGACATTGGCACTGCTTTGTTTAAGGTCAGTATTTAGTGCAACTGCTGGGCTATTGCTTCATTGCTTATTTGAATCAAGTTTGGCATGGCAGTAGCACTGTGTCTAGTCTTGGCCTAAATGACCAAAAATGGAAAGTTACAAGTGTGCACATTTGCCTTCTATTTGAGTTTGCTATCCGAGATCAACTTCTCAGCTCTTTTGTACAATTTGTCAGTTATACATGTACATCCCACTTCACTTTGACCTCTAGGATGAGTACGGATAAACACAAGTGAAGTAGTTGAATTCTAAAGATCAGTTAATAGCCAAGAGTTTTATCCTGAACTGAATATTCTACCAAATCTAACTGAACTTGTCAAAGAAAATAACAGGGGCATTTTCAGTAACAGATGTACATGTATGTGTGCTCTGTCTAAAGTGTGGGTCAGTACATGTATCTTGTACTGAAATAAAATTCATAAAGAGTTTAGCTGCAATAGATTTTCATAAGGACTTGGGGCTACAGGTCAACCATTTACTCCATTTTAGCGACGTCAATTTGTTACATTAAAAAAAACTAGATGTTCTTGTTTATGTGTACATATTTATGCATTTAAAAATTGGATTTAAAGCAGTTTTTTAATTCTGATGAATGTCCATATCCAGGACACTTTGACTGTTTCTGTGGATTGGACGGCATCAAATGGATTGGTTGTTTTCCATGGAATTTTCTGTGATTGTGGCATCTTGAAAAATAGATTTGCAAATGGAATTAATTTTTCTAGGATTACAGCAATAAGTGGACTTTGACAAGTGACAATGCATATATACATGAACTTTCAAGTTTTGAATTAAGAGTGTCTCAAATAAGGCAAGTGGGAGAGTGCGCACTTTTTGTTTGTGAGTGCATTTTATGAATACGCAACTTCAACACATTGCAAGTTTGTGTTTGCTGAGATATGACGCATCTGGCTTGGAGAAGTCAAATTCTTAACTTTTGCTTAGAATTGAGATGTCCTGCACTGATCCAGTGCAAAACTAAAAGGCACTTTTTAATTCAAGGTTTGCACTTGAACTGTTGTAAATACACAACTACATTTACACATACAAAGTTGAGAGCATTTCACAAATTAAAGAATCACTGAAGATTCATTCTCAGTTTTGACTTGCCGACTAGTTCCTGATCAGTGTAGTGGAACAGTTGTTTTTTGCCCCAAAAGGCACTTGCATTAGGCCATTCAACAAGACCCCAAGATTATTTGAAATGTGTTTCGGCACGTTCTGTCATTTTGTCTGATCAGCTGACGACAGTCTATGGCCAGATGCAATTGTACAAAAAGTTATCCAGCCATCAAAACAGCACATAATGAATACCACGACAAAATACAACATGTACAAATTTACCTGTACAGTTGTACCTGAAAATGTGACTAAAAGTAATGCAATGATGCACTTCAAACTAAAACTGACACCAAACTGTCCACAAAACCACAATATGGAACATGTGCTTATTTCCAATTAATGTTTATTTATTATATACAAAAGAATAACAGACAAGGACAATTTACAAAAATCATTAATTTTACATAATATGAAGACACGATTTTTTTCCACAAACATGTACAGTATTTGGAATTACCAATAATTTGAGTTGTCAAAAGTTGTGTGGGAAACTTTGACAGACAAGCTTTGATTGAAATGGGTTCCCAAGCTTCAGCTAAATGTGGCTTGCTGAATTGTAAAGTACAAGCATAAGTGATACAGTGGAAGTTGGACTAGTTCCAAAAAGGCCGAGCTAATTTTCAGATGCATGGAATCCAAGCCCATTTTTCATATGTGAAAGTTATTGCTCCCAACTTTTCAATGTATTCTTGATGAGGGGCTTAAGTTTTTTATAAGTCTATTGTAAAGCTCTCATCAGAATTCGGATTGCACTTAAAACTATTTACATGTACATGCAGCGCTTACAATAGCCATGCAGAAAGGTTGGGTACAGGTGCTGTAGGTGCTAGTGTATTTCTTAAGGCAAGGATGAAATTCTTTAGCTCAAAGGACCCTCATGCCATTGGAATAAAAAACCTGTACATGTACGTGAAGGCTTAAAATCACTTACAGGAACACTCAACTTTATATTTAATATTAAACTTTCAGCATTTTGAAACTACCGTCTTCTGAGGAAATGTCGAACTCCAGTTTGGGTTCTATCAATTATGGATCATAATGAAATATGTCGACATTTCTGCAGTGGCTATTAAGACTACAATCAATGGCTATTTACAGGCCCGTCTACTGAGTAGATCTTAAAAAGGTCAGTCCTGGTTGGCAAGGTCAGTAACGACCGATGATGTTAGTTGTTCGACGTTACTGATGCTCATGAACTTGCTGCTTGCATACTTCTTCCTGACAGCCTGAAAAAAAGCAACATAAGAAGCTTTATTACAAATGGGTTGTAACGAATCCTGCAACTTTCACAACTAGAGATGTGAGTGAGTGACTACTTGTCACTTTGACGTGCTTGAAACAGAAAATGTGTTTCATAGTAGACATGGTTCTCAAACCATTTTAGGAAGTTTTAATTATTTCCGAGAGGAATTAGTACATGTATTAACCACTTGCCACCGAGGTTTTTCAGTACCGGACATGTATGCTTTATACGTGTGGTGGGGTCTCCAAAATCGGACAAAGGGAACAGGGCCTTGTTTTGAAACAATATACCACGGTTTGGGGCATTTAGTGTGAGCGGATTACCACCGAGGACAAAAGCACTCCACCACCGCAGCAATGAGCCACACAGCACAGCTGCATACTAATCTGGCCCCTATTGAAAAGAGGTCAGCAGCGCACCGTGCCAGGTTCGTAAAAAAAGGAAGTTGCATGACACCGCACAATCTGGGTTCTTTTTAAAAGGCTGCAGGCCTGGCTGAAATACTCGGGCGTCAATAGATTTTTGTCTGTCGGACTAGAGTAGCCACCAGACAGTCATTTGTGTGGGTTTTAACGTCCTTAATTGAAATGAGTTTTTGAAGAATTTTGAAAACTGAAAATGTCCCGATTATGTGCACTGCACTTTTCAAACCACCCAACAGCAAGTGGTTCAGAGCAGATAAGCAGGGTGAAACTGAACCAATCATTTTTTCTGCCTTGGAGAAAGTTTCTACTTAGATCAAAACAGGTTTTTTTTCCCGATTTGAACGGATATTTGCCCTTTGAAATATTGGAGGGACTTGTACAACTCATATTTCAGCCAAATTCATGTTCCCACAATGGGCCCTGAGCTGGACCAAGAGAGGGCTCAACTTTCCTAGTCAATCGATGCTCCTTTAGTAGATACTGCACATCGCCGGTTAATGATCTACAATGAAATACAAACGTAGTTGCATCGCTACCAACAAAATGAACACTGTCTAACATGGCTCTCTTCAACTCATGGGGGTGCTTCAGCTCAAGGTGGATAGTTTGTAAATCACTTCAGTGTTTGAAAGTTTATTTATGGTCTTTTTTCTCTCGTCCCTTCAAGATACTTGCATCAGGACTTGCAGGATTTATTTGTATTCTTTGCAAGGCACACCCAGGACCTTTGTTGACAGAGGCAAACGCACCTGGTATTTGTTCTTAGGTGCATTGCAAAGGAGTGTGGCCATCTTCTTTACAATCGGGGTCAGGTGGTCTTCACAGTAGCAACTGTAGTGCACCAGAGTCTTAGTCTGAAATAGAAAAGATCAATTACATGAACACTATTATCAAATGATTAATGAATGTGCCTGCTAGTCTGGCATTTTGTATCATACAGTCAACCCTGTTACAACAAAGTTACAGGAACCAGACAAATGACTGTTATAACCAGGAAGTGGGGAACTCTAGCACTCCCACTAACATTTTTCAACCAATGAGGGTTTGTTTCTTCTCAAGGGGTATAGACAATACACTAGTTTGAGCAAGTTCCAGGCCGAGTTTATGTTGAACACTCAATGTGACGGACAAATCCTAAATGGAACTAAACATTACCATGCCTTTTAAGTTTTGATGGCATAAAGATGACACAAATTGACACAAGGAGATTTGTTAAACTTACCCACTCTGCGCCTGGTTCTAGAATCTTGGTTGATAAACACAGGGCGGCAGCAGCTATCTCTGACGGGTCATACTGAACAAAGCTGTACTCTGGTAGTGTTAACTCCATTATGTACTTGGCCAATGTGTGCTTCTGTCCATCAACCTGCATCAAGAGAATGATGGAAGAAACAATGTTCACTTTCAATGTTAACTAGGTCAAAACTCAACCTGCTTTGGGGAATCTGTGGGAACTTCTGATGTGCAAGTTATTCTCCATAGGTGTCTCTTAAATGACCTCACTTCCTACAGGTTGCCACGTGCATCCACAATTTGCTTTCAAAACAGTTCAAACATGTTCTTTATGAAAGTATAATGTACATTTAGATTTAATAAAGAGTTGTAATAAAACACGTACATGTATATGGATAAACAGTGCGCGTGTATAGAACACTTGCACACTGTGCACACATTGGTGTCCCATGAGAGAAATCTGGGGATGCTGATGAACCCTTGCAGTTCTAAATACTTCATCTGTTGGATTGCAGGTTGTTATGGTTACCAGCCATAAGAGTCTCAATAAGTAGGTATTATCAGCTTGATAAACATGGTCCAGGATGTCCCCCTTTCAAAAGGGGAAATGATTAAGAAATCTGTCACCCTAGACCCAATAAGATATGCTACAGACATACCCCACCAGCTTTGGAATTGCGTCTGAGGAAGTGAATGCAGAGAGGTTTGCCGAGATTGAAGTCAAGCTTCCTGAGGATATCGCATTCCATGGCAAGGATCTGAGCCTTGCTGTAAGCGTTATCAGTAATGTAGACAAAGTCTCCAATCTCTGGTGGGTACATCTCCTCAAACTTGGCTGCAATCAGCATGGAGGTCACACCAACCAGTTGTAGTTTATTCTTGGATACAGACTGCACCTGTTGAAATAGAAACTTAAAAACTTGACATGCAGACCAAACAGATGTTGGTCATTGGACAAATAAGTGCATGAAGCACATATTGGTATTATGCACCAGGCACTGTTGAACATGCATGAAAGAACATATAGCTGGGCACTACGTACATGTATCAAAGGGAAAACTACTACAGTCAGATTTCATTAATAAGAGCACTGTTAAAACATTCTAATTAAACGCTGCCAAATTTTGAGGTCCCAATCCTTTGCTCTTCATTGTTCTCATTCCTGAGAATACAAGGTTCCTGTTGGGTCAAGGTTATCTGCAAAGTCTGAAGAAAGTATTAAGCTTTGAGCATTTTGAAAATTTTGACAATGGAACACCACGCACAGCATCATATTCTAAGTCCACTCTCTTGAAATAGGAGAAGAATCGATCTTTGCCTTTTAAGTGACCGTAAGTTCACATACTTAAAGACTCACCTTCATAAATCGAAGTCCTACATTTTGGTAATACTAGTACTTGTAATACAAGAACTCTGATTTAAAACCCTTCAAGTCCTGAATTGAGGACTGATGAAGGCTGGTGGGGATCAAGAGATCAGATACATACCTCAAGATATCTGTCAAGGATCTGGATGGTAAGGAAGAGCGTTTCCTGAAGGAGATGGAATCGGAGATGAACTTGAACCATCCAATCAACCAGGATTGTTCTCATTCGCTCTGTAATCTCCTGACTAGCCATGTAGTCTGTCCTTACTTTGAATACGCGCTGTGTGCAGGAATCAAGGTTAAGATAATTTAGTATACAAGAGGCCATAATTCCTATCAGACATGTGGATAAAAATACGACTGATTTGCATTATGGCTATTGTGATATGATCCTTCGACAAGGTTACATGAAAACATTGAGGCTTTAAATGATGTGTTCCTTGCGGCTCACGGACAGTGATAACCTAAAAGAAATTTCAAATGCCGGTTACCTCAAGATGTCTCATATACTCGTAGATTTCATTGACATACTCGCTGCAAAGCTGTGGGTTGCTATGGTCATCTTTGTCAATGTCATCAATGCCAATGTCAAGCAGGTTCTGTGAGAAAGCTTCCAAAGCGTGACTGACATCGCTCATGTCCATGGGCTCGGGGGACAGGACCTGGAATAAAGGTACAAAAAAGAAAATTTTGCCATTCAGTGGAATCAAGATTTCAAGGCAGCATATATTTTTCAGATTGAAATTGGCATGGTTAAATTTCCTTGCTACCAGTCTGAATTAATGTTCACCACATTGCGAGACTTTCATAATTCGCAGTCGAGGGTGAACCAACTTTACCTTTTTAACAGGTTCCACACCGAGTCCAGCGACAGACTGTAGGGAACTGGTGGCCTTGGATTTCGTCATTCCTTTCTTCGGTTTAACATCCTGCAAAATCAACACAAGGAAAATATTACCCACTGTGTGATATAAAAAAAGCAGTATTCAAAACTTCTTTCCCATGAAACAAGTTTGAAATATGCAAAGGGTCGACAAAATTCAGTTTTACACCAAGTTCAAGAATGCAGTGAATGAGGGACTAAAAAGAACTTAAGATTGAAAAGCATCCAAGACAAATACCATCCAGTAAGACTTTCCAAATGGACAGTTGACATTAATGACATGATCAACTTCAGGAATCAAGCATTGAATTGATGAATAACAAGCAACTTTGATCGAAATTTTATATTCGTTCTGTTAGACTGGCACGTGCCTGGTTGAAAGGCATTCTCTTTTTTAAGCACTTCCCCCCTCACAACCAACAATGCAAATAACTGCCCCCATTACGCTTTTTACCAGGCAGCAGACAAAATGGGCTATTCCACTTGATTTTCTTAAAGGGATACACAGATCTCTTTCTCTCCATAGACAATACCTTCTTCGCAACATCCTGTATGTTATTTCCTGCTACATTACTGATGGTCTCTAGAGCACCTCTTGTGCCTAATGTCGACTTGATACTCTTGGATGCTGCTCTGGTGACCATTTTCCCATTTATTCTGACATCAGCATTTTCACCATTTGGCATGCCCAGCTTGGCATTGCCAAGGATATTCTGTAAAAAGGAGTACAAAATTTCAATTTAATATTCTTCAAATATTTTTAGGGTATACATGTATTTGTATAACCTGAAAGTCCTCAATCCTCCAATTTCAATACGATTGTACATGAGCAGTTGCTATTGTTACAGTTTGGACAGGTTTCTGTGTACTTTCTTGCACTAGTCAGGTGCACTTAAAACAGGAACCAGACCAGACAGGGACTTTGTTTCCCTTTGAAAAAATCCTCCAGCGTTATGAATCTATCAAAGAAACAAAAAAAGTATAGATGTGATCGGTGCGCAATTTGTGTCTCAAGCGTGCTATAAAGGCAGCTATTATGGTTAGCGTTCAAGCAGTAGAGGCACACATCACAACGTAGAACCTGTCCTTGCAATTAGCATATGGAGAAGTCCCAATATCCCTCTAAATGGGGACAATTTTTCAAGTGAGCTTGGTGATCCTACCATTGCTCTTGTCTTGGGATCCTTTTAATGCCTTAATTGGATTCAGTAGAGGGAAACGCCCAAGGCTGTCGTTTAAGAAAATTCTAGTTTACTTCTAGGATTGCAAGCAGGAGTCTGCGATGGTACAAAGGATGGAGGAAACAATTTTTCTGAAAATCAATTCTTTATGACAGTTAATCAAGTGACGTGGCATAAACTTCATAAAAACAATTCAAATAAGCATATATGAATGGAAAATATAGAATATATTGATAATAGCATGTGGATATTTTGACCTGCATGTACATGCAAGCCCACTTGGGAAAATTTCCCCGTTTAAGAAGACATTCTTTCAGGGAACTGTCTTTGTCCCCAAATAAAGAGACTTCTCTGAATACAGGGACAGCCCCCCAGTTGTGACGTGTGCCTCTGGTAGTAGGCTCTACTGTTGACCGAGCAGGTATTCCCATTTGCTCAGAAGCATTGATCTCCATTCTCAAAAGCTTCCAGATCTCTTTCAATTATTGGGACAGGCACCAGTGAAGCTGGGAAAAGTAACTCGAGGCTAGAATTCCGGTACAACCTAATAGTTTTGGGGGTCGTTTCAAAATTTGTTTTCTGGGATCCTAATTTTTCATGCTTTTACTTATAAGTTAAGTCGGAATTAAATATCAACAAGGGAATTTAATAGGCCTACATGTAACTCTCGCCATGTACCACGAGGCAATACACAGTATGCCCTATAGGGGCTTAGCATGGCTAGGGTTAAATTCAATGACAATGAATGGAAAAGAACAAGGGGTCCAACTCGGGCTCCACCATGTCAACATAAAGATGCGTCTTCGATCGGTCACGACAATAAGGGAACAATGTGCAAGTCCTCAATCCTGCCTGAAAACAGTCGAGAAACCTACAGACTCCGAAGGCCTACCTGCCATGCCTGCCTACTGTTTTAAATGGTCACACATGTACTTTCAGGAACGCTCAACTAAATAGTCATTCATTTACATCCTGAAATACCTATGTATATCAGGAAAAAACAGACGTGTCCTTCCGTCTATAAAAGCTCGGCAAGTTCTGCACAATCAACTTCAACAAGTTCAAAAAGAAAAACTACGGCTAAAAATAATATAACTGGGCTTTAAAACTTTGAAACTTACCGTGGACCCTCTCACTCTAAGAGACATTTTTTAGGCAAGACAAGCCTCGGGATACGAATTCAAGCTTCTTGGAGAAATCTCGAGCACTTTTTTTTGACTGTTAAATCTCTTCCGCCGGGGTTTTTAAATTCTCTTCCGTGCGTGTACTTCGTACAGCATCCCAATGTGAACTAACCGCATGCAAGGCGCACGTAAAGTACCTTTCGAACAGTCGCGGGGATAACGTGATTCGTCAGGTCACAACAACATCGGATGCTGATTGGTTAGTGTGGCGTGACACAACAGGTGCAAAAATGCAGGGCCTTGGATACAGGCAGGCGCTTCCATTTCAGACTGAGGGGTGGACATCTAAAAATAGGTTATTGCGCGGTTAGCAATCCTTTCGACAGGTAACTTATTATGAGTTATTACGTAACAAACTATAAGCAGTTGCGCATTCCGAGTACGGGGGCGGGGAACTTGCTTGGCCTCATGTTTGGATTTGTCAGAGAGAAAGGATAATGTTACTGATTAAAACAAAATGACATCATACGTAGTCGCTGCACTTGTCACGTCAAGGATCGAGGCCGCCACAGAGCAGGCGGATCCTCAGCGCTGCGGTGTGGAGCGACTTACCAGCCAACCTCCCTCACGCGTGCCCAACTTGGTTTTTTGTTTTAGTCATGGTTTTAACTGAAATCATGGAGGAATAAGAATGAAGCCGTCTTGGTGACTGTGGGGGCCCCTCTTTAAGTTGCAAAAAGCTTGTCAAAATCTCCAAAATGTAGCCCAATTAAAGGCCATAAAATTTCCACATTTTCTGGCTCCCGGCCCCAAGTTTTTTTTTCGCCTGATTTCGTTCTGAATGACTCTTTGCTTGTCACGAAGAAGAACTTTTGTACACAAAATTTACAAAGGTCCATCAACCGGCTCTGCCACAGTAGAAAATAACACCTTTACCGTCGTAAGAAACGATTCGGAATGGTAAAATAGCGTAGATATACAACATTGTCTTTCTTAACAGATTGCCTGGCCTTAGGAAACTTTGCTGAATCCCAAATGAAACTTTAACACTATGAGAACAAAACCCGGGATGAAAGCCAGATCGATGCACTAGCTGAGTTCATCTCCATTTTCTAAAGTGCTTGCCTTCACTTCGAGAAAACAAGGGGGGGGGGAACGAGGGACTAAAATAAGTGGAACCCCCCCCCCACCTCTTGAATGCTACAAAGAGCGAATGGGATAGGGGAGACAGAAATCCGTTTGTTACACTTCGGTGCTTTGTGAAATAATGACACTCTCCCGGTAACGTGTAATACTGTACGTATTGGTGATAGGGTGATGACGGAGGGTGGCTGGAAACCGTGTGAAAACTCATTTGTCTCCCTCCCCCCAAGTTTGTTTCGTTGGATCTGTGCAGTTTTTCCGATGCTAGTATGATACTTAAATATTTTATCTTCCGTCTTCTCATATTTTCCAAATAAAACAATAATATGTGCCTAATATATGTATATGCACTCAACATGTAGTTGGCTTCTAAAATGGATACTAACTGAAATGGCCGAAAGTGAGTTAGATTGTTGACAAGTCCTCAAAAGAATGAAGAAATTCTGAACATGAGCATGATAATCTTATCCTGAGATGAAAAACTCATGCGGATGTATTACCGAGTTACCTTTATACCACTAGCTGTCTCTTAATTGATTGCATAGGGTCATAAGAAGCATTCATTTTGCTGGCACAAAAAACTGGGGATGATCCTATGGTCCCCCCGTCCAAAAACTGGATGAATATATCCCCATAGCCCCGGTATTTGCCCCACATGGTTGAAGAAATTTTATGCACGGAGGTAAAATACAGAAAAGCAGGCACCTTCTACAAAAATACATTCCACGAAAATAAATATTTTATTTCAGCAATGATCACTTCCAGGAATCAAATTATGTACACATGTTCTCTATATTTACAAGTTTAAAACTGATGACAGCATTTAATTGATTGAAGATACTGTGTATTAGTTTTTTTTACCTAATACTTGTATAGTAACCCTGTTTTACTCTAACTTTATTGGATCATGACAACCATGTATTTGATTTTTCAATAAAGACTGATCACAGTAATTGCTTAATAAAGAAAACCAAAATCCTATGCCACTGGCACGTTTACATTTAGACAATCCTTAAAACACAGCAGAGCATTCAATAATTAATGTGACATATATGATTACATTGTTCTCATTAAAATACACAATTCTAAAATGCCCTGAGCTTTAATCGATCACACTTAACAGTATATAACCAGTAAAACTGGTCTGGACACACCTTGAAACAAGTTTGAAACTGGTGCACAATGAATAAGCTGTTTGTACTTATTAAAACTAATCACTAACTTAACTGTAACAGACTAACAGGGCTAAATCCTCCAATGTCAAGATGATTTTACATACACCTAAGGGCCCACTGCCTCAAAATCACCCTGGAGGCATTTTAAGCCGAGCAGCTATTAATTTTTACAGACACAGTTCAAACTTCAGACCTTGAAGTTTCAAGTCGATTGTTACTGGCTCTGAAGTTTCCAGTCATATGTCACTGGCTCTCTACCTATTACTTGCCAAAATGCCCCAAACTGACCTGAATATCAAAGCAATGTGTCAGCAGACCTCCTTTCTAGTTTCTAAAATCTTTAAGTAGCGTATTACAAGGTGTCTCTATGACACACTCTGACTTTAAGATGTAATCATAAACAGCCTAAACTCACTGGAAAGCTCTTTTGAAATACGTTGGATGCTACAGCAGCTAATTTTCACTTGAAAAGGTTGGGTACATCAAGAAAAATAAATTAAAAAAACCCCTAGAGGTTGGAATTAATAATACTGTGTTTTAATATGACAAACTCGTGACAGAAACAATTCTTAAGTAATACCTGTCACAGTTCATCATTTGAATAGCTTGTGACCGAGACTTGTGCCTGACCTGTGATGACTTGATCATAACTTCGTAAGGAAGCTTTTGGTCCTGATTCATTCAAAATGTGCTTCAAATTCTTCAACAATTTTAAAACAATGATAAAGATGTAACAAAGCAAACAATACAAATTGAAAGAGTTGGGTGATGCCGAGGCTATTTGATAGTCTTTCACAACAGGTGCACTTACAGAGACTGGGCAATCAATTAATTGATCTAGCACTCATTTTAATATCTGTAAAAATACAAGCAATCTGCCAAGTGTAATGCATACTGCTTACAGTTGGTTTGATAACTTCTGCTTATCTGACAGTGCTGCTTACTTCAATCCTCAGTTAAACAATTTCATCCAATAAACCTAACATGATGATGTCACCTTTGTTTACATGTGTGCTTCCCTATGGCAGTGAGGTTAGATGTGATCCATCGAGCCCCCATAGGAAAGTGTTCATGTAAACAAAGCGTGAGATCATTATGCTTTAGGTCTACTGACAGCTGGATTCTGTCAGCAACTGCATGACTTTAAATAAAATCAGGTGATTCCTCAAAATGCTTAGTTCCAAGGGGGTGAACTGCCTCGAGCAGAAACACCCCCTCACTGGTTGAAAAGAGCCACGTTGGTGGGGAGTGTTCATTTTGTTGATAGCGATGCATACACATTGCATGCATTTCATAGTCGTCAGTGAACCAATGATGTGCAGTTTCCACCAAAGAAGCCTCCATTGCTAGGAAAATCACCCCCTCTCTTGGTCCTGCTCAGGGCGGATAGTCCATGCAGGTTCTATTTTTTGCACAAACTGCATAAATGGATTTAAATCACTGGTACTGGGATACTTCATTTACGACAGGCTAAGTCTTCTCTATCTAGAGAGTGACCTTGTAACTCTAAAATTTTACAATATTATGTATTACTTAACCAAAGTTCTTTGTCTTGGTTTAAATGGGTATCAGTGTGGTACAAGAACAGCTTGTGTCAAAGAAAGTGATAAGAGAAGTGACTTTGGTAAATACCCTCAGTTTTGCTGTCTGCCTTACATATTCCATTGAACTCTAGGTCATTGATGTCGTTAGCCATTCTGCAGAAGAGATATCATGTGCTTCTCGATTGTAAGTTGCACTGCAGGGGAAGAGAAAGTAGTCTCATAAAAATAACATGAAACAGCCACAAACTTGCAAAACAATAATGAAGGTCAATTGAGCATTATTTCTGTCATGTAATCATCATTTGATCGCTTTTTTGTGTGTTACGTTGTCATCTGTTATGATGCAATGGTAACAACAGAATCAATCCTACCATCACTATGGTAACAACAGTACAAATGGAATCAAAAAGCAACAAACCCCTACCATCTCTGTATCGCCAATAATGACAGTAGAAACAGAATCAAACCTGCAAACACTATGGGCCACAGTAGCAGTAGGAATGAAATCAAACCTTCACTGTGGCCAGCAATTGTACAAATGGAATGAAAAAGTACTGATAAATACCTTAGACAGTTTCCCTATTCAACAACGTGCAGTATGACCTTGTATTAACATTTGAAAATGCCTGCTAAGATGTGATAATGTCTGTTGCATAAAGCACGCACTGGCACCTGAATACAAGACAGTATAATCAATTCTGACTGGTCAAGAATCTGTGTGCACAAGGCTCGCCACACGCACATCAAATCCATATAAGGAGATTCTTTTGGGGAACTTGCACAAGGAATGCACCATAAAAGGACAGGGGTGTTCCAGAAAAGGAAAGTAAAATTCTAGAAAAAGTCATTGGAAATCCATCATATATTGGCTTCTTTTGACTAAAAAAGGTATTTATGAATGGGAATAAATATGTACTTGACTGGTCTTAAACTAACATTCAAGACCAGCTCAGGGGAATGATTGCTGATAATGACCTCGCCGCAGCCAAGCACATATTTATTCCCTTAATAAAATATGTCATATCGCCCACAGTGACAGTAGAAACAGGATAAAACTTGTTTTATTCCTATGAGCAAGAATAACAGCAGGAATAAGTCCTCACCTGTCTTCTTGAAGTCTATTTCAATGAAATTAATACGTACCTTCTCTATGACCAAGGGCAACAGCAAGACTTAAAGGGGTGTGTCCACCTTCCGTTTGTACAGTTAAGTCAGCTCCAGCCTCCAAGAGCAGACGTACACATACGGGATGGTTTTTATACACAGCATACAGCAGTGGTGTTCCTTCATTCTAGCACAAGTGAAAACCACAATTACAACCAAAGTTCTTAACTTTACATGTATTTGCTACACTACTTTGCACACTGCATCAAGTTGACCCAACATATGGTTTGAGCACATTGTCTAGGATATCCTAGGTGCAGATTGTGAAGATTTCTGGCTTAACTCCAAATAATGCAGTGACAAGGTTAACTGAACTTCACAGCTGAGCATCAATGACATCACCCCAAGTAACATCACTCATCAGTAGCATTTCTGTAAGCCTTGACTCAAACAAAGCCAAAAATGAAAGCTTAGAGTTTTCACAAGTGATCTGTAATTGCCGGCAGTGGCTTGCACATAGTGTATGTAAGATTTGAAGTCTATACATCTCATTTTATATGTACACCTTGTTCTCATTGCTATATTGCATGGCTTCCTGAACCACTCTTACTTTAAATTAAGTTTTCATCCAGGACCTGGAAGGGAATTCTCCTGTTTTTGTCCACAAAAAAGGTTAGGTTTTGTAGGATTTTCGCTCTTCTCAAATAGACAGTGTCAATGTTGCAGTATAATACTTATTGTTTTTTGTTTATTGTGCATTTTGCGTGTGCTTTGTCTTTCTAACAAATTTCATCTGTTGATGTTCCATGTGTTTTGTTGTACCCTGTTAGATTTTAGTGTTTCCATACGATTGTAAAGTTGTCTAATTTTAAAGTTTTGTTTTTACTGTATATGTATCCTTTTATGAGTGTTTGCAGGGCCCTTAATGGAAACCAGTTTTGGTAAACTGGGCCATACCTTGGATAAATAAAATAAATAAATGAATAAATAAAACAAATAAAAGCCAACATTATATTTATCTTGACAGCCTGCAATCATGTAGATGTAATTCAAAGTTGCATTATAAGTAACTTGAATTATGTCAAGTGAGTTCAATCTGTCAATCTTGAGTTAGAAAGGCAAAAGATGTGACAAGAACTGTACACACAAAAGTCTACTGAAGATTTCAGTCCGTTCTTACCCAATCAGATTTATTAACATCTGCTCCCTCAGTGAGCAATAAACGGATGATATCAATACATCCAACACTGCTAGCAAAGGCTAAGGCAGTCTCTCCATCTACACTTTCCTTAGTGACATCAGCGCCATGGGCCAGGAGATGCTGGACGATGTCCGTCTGCTGGTGAGCACACGCCCACATCAGAGGAGTGCAGCCGTCTGCGTCGAGCTCATCAATGTCAAGTTCCTCCTGGAACTTCTCTTCAAGGACGGCAATCTCACCTTGAGCAGCCAGCTGGTGAATACTGTAATCTGGGTTTGGAATTTGAAAAGATGTACAAGGAAGATGATGGTACAAGTTTTTATTATGGGGGCAAGTTACTTCAAAATTAGATTATCATTAAGTCGCTGAGGGTGACGAAGGTCTGAAAGAGCACTTGTTTTGCTTAATAACTGGGCCAAGAGACCAGTATTGAAACCTAAGTCAAGTTAAGGACCTCAAATAGTGCAGTAAGAGTGTGATGTTGCAGCTGAAAACTTAGGTGGGTTTCAGGCTCTCTCATGTACATGTATGCAAGCTACAACACAGTAATAAAGAAGGTTGAAAATGAGCAAGATATTAGCAAACTCCTATCCCTCTGTGGGACACTTGGTAGCTAGGTAAGCATGCAACCAGACAGCCAAGCTGCCTGCTGTAACAATCAAAACACTTCACAAGCAATCACTCACTAATAACCTCACCAACAACTAGCTTCCTAAAGCAAAACTGAAAATGGGACAAAGATATGCACCTCCAAAGTAAGTTTTCTTCAGGGTTCATCTTGTTACAGTCCCAAAAGCACATGGTATTGGTAAGATGTTATACTCACTATAGAGACATGTAGGTGTTACACTTTGAACATTTCCTCGCTTGGTATTCGTCATTGATATCTGTAACTGAAGTAAAAAAAGCACCAGGAAATGCATTAATCACATTTTCTATAATATTGGAAATACAAAATGTTCAACAGTCGGGTGAACTTTGACATTAAAGAAAACATCAAGTCTCCGCGGTTCTTATCAGAACCACTCCTGCTCACAGAAAAGGTAGATCACTTGGCGTCTCTGCAAACCATGTGACTATTGCTCTGTTCACCATGAAAATTTTCAAATCTTACCTATTAAGGAAATTGTTAAAAAATGTCCTTCCATAATGGAAAGGGTATGGTATGGCAATGCAAGGCAAACACCAGATAGCAATGGACATAATGATCTTCAAGTTGCTTCATTTTACCCTCATTGGAGAATAGCTAGATTTGCTGGATTTACTTGACGATGAAGACCTGCTGGTGCAAACTGGCTTCAGTGTTGGCAATAAATTTCTGGTCTCTGAAAATAAAAGACGATTTTTGTTCGGTTAAACGTTTCACCTTCCAAAAATGAATTTATCATCTTATAATCCGTTCAGAGCAGTAACAAGAGAGGGCGCTTTTGTACATAGCATTGACGGTCCTTTGGTGGGAACTTACGGCCTGCGCATGCAGGTTCACATACATTAAGCGCAGGATATTCTGAGCATGGGCATGAACCCTGATGATTAACCTTCCTACCAACCTGTCTCTTCTTTGCTGGTGCGGGCACACTACAACTCCAGGCAGAGAAGCTGGATACACATATAAAAAATTACTGTTTGTTCTTCCTCTTTTTTCTCTCCTTGGACTGGTATCTTTCATCCTTATAACTAACCGAAGCCTCTTCGAACAGTAACAATGAGTCAATTCAGTATTTCAACAGCAGAAACATAAAATAAAATGAAATGAAATGTATTGTAAGTAATTGCAGTCGTAGAAGTTCAAGTCGGTCTGGCCTTGCCTTATTGAAATACCAAGTTGGCTTGTTTGTTCCCTGGTGCATTTATTCCCCACATTTTTTTCCCTTGAACAATGTACAATGTACTTTGATATTTGCATGCAAACACAAGTCAGGAAGCATGTGCCAAAGCGTTACCATTTTAACATGAATAGGAAGTGTCCTCTCAGTGCTTTCCTTTAAAAGTCTTTCCCATTTTGCCTTGAGAAATTCCACTTTGATACAGGACTATACATACACATGTAATTATTTGACAGGATTCAATATTCAAGACATGTGTATGCCAAATAAATTTCAAGGTAAGTACATGTACATTAATATTTTGGGCTGCTCAGTTTAACATACTTCTTGACCAACCTCTTCCCAAGGCTTCTGAAGGATTTGAATACACAAAACGACTACAGGGGACTAGAATTTGAAACTTATATAACAATTGACAGCTAAAATAATGAAATTGAATGGCACTTTTTGATGTTTGAATGCAGACATAAAGGGGCATTCAATTTTAAATGAATTTGAATAAGTCTTGCATAAAACTGAATTTTTTTTGATAGACCTGGGCGGGAAAACCAATATTAAAATGGTGATAATTGCAAAATTTATTGTATTTACCTGGACACATAACTGACTGAACCTCAAGATCTGAGCTAGCTTGATCTTGGTCACTCAATGCATTCAAGACTCTATCCACAGCCATCATCGATGGTGCAACATGGACCACAGTTGGTTGGCTGCCATTGTAATCCAGGGGTGTAGTCAACATAGCTGGAATAGCTGCTGAAATCGGAATTTTACTCTCTGAGGGGGCTGCAACTTGTATGGGATTAGGGTTGGCTTGTAGTTGGAAGCCAACCATAGTTGTTGGAGTGGTGATTACGTTGGATGGAACATCACCGGTACGTGTGCAGACGCTAATACTGACAGGATAGGGCACTTTGGATGGATCCATTGTGGTTTTCTCCTACCAGTACATGTTGGTAAACAATCTGCAGAAAAGAACGATAGAAAAATAATAGAAAAATAAGAACGAAAAATAAGTTAAACACTGTGAGACAATTTCCAAATCTAAGTAAAAACCTACTGTCAGCTGTTTCTCAAATTGGCAATGCCATGGAAGTACATGTACATGTATTCCTTTCAGTAATATCAGTAATGTGGACATGATGGTAGACAGGAAGACATGATGGTAGACAGGAAGACATGACGGTAGACAGATAAATATGATAGTAGACAGGACGACATGATAGTAGACAGGAGAACATGATAGTAAACAGGAGGACATGATGGTAG